TCTGTTTAATTAAGTATTTTCATCAGACTATGATTTCAATGTTAAAATTTCTGCAAATGATTGCTAATATACATTATGTACGTGTTCATTTCTGTTGCATTGTGATTTCCAAATTCTTTATTTGTAGCGTCTATTCTCCTTGGGTCGTTCATAGACTTCACCCTTTTAGCCTGTGATGAAGTACATGGAATCTACACGTTTGCCTGAAGAAATGTTGGAATTATATTTTGGAGAAGTTTTCTCAAAACAATAATTTCATTATCTAACATGGCAATTAACTTTAGGAGCCGTTGCAGATATCATTACGCATTCTTTGCTTAGTCACAGATCAAAATATCTATTGCATAGTTTCATGAGACATTAGTGTTGATTGATGATAGATAGTATTATAAGAGATGATCTAATGTTCTTAGTGGATAGGATAACAATTGCTCACTGTTAATGTGACGTCGTCACGTCAACAAATCAAACTTTTTTTCTTTTGATCGTTGACGTGGCATCATCACAGTAGTAGGTGGGCATTACAACTTTTGTCCACCGTACATAGGAGATCGTATAGTCATGGTTTTTGCTTGCAACATGAATGACGTTTCATGTTGTATAATTTATAAGAAATATAAATGGAATCTCATATTTGCCGATATACAAGATAGTGATAAATGAACATTCATATACTGGTTCAAAGCCAGTAAGTAGGTACCTAAAAGGTGAAATCGAAGAATTCTATTGAACAGAAAAGTAGGGAGCCACGGTATATATGCCTATATGCTGCCAAAAACCCTTTTGTATTAACAAAAAAGAACTGAAAAATTTTATGTACCCTTTGCATGGTTTATCATTGTGCGATCTTGATAGTACACACTGGTGGGAAGCGTTTTGCATTCGAGCAGTAATTGTAAATCATATAATTTTTCTGCACCCATTTTAGTCTTTCTTGGCCTGTGGAATCTAATTCTTCACTTAGCCATGCAGGGTTGGAGTTGGAGGTGGAGAGTTGGAACTCCAAGAAGACGACCGTGAAGATCAAATACAGGCATTTACGTTGAAATTCCTGTAGGAGGTAGTAAATGGAGCCTGACTCTAGTCTGTTTTCACAAGCCCGCCTCTAGTTCCCTAGTCGTCCACGTTCTCTAACATTTCCCCCAATTGCTTCCTAAGTTCTTTAAGCTCAGGCTGAAACATACGGTATGGTGCCCTGGCGGGAGCTTTGGCGCCTGGAATAAGTTCGATCTCATGATCAATCGTCCTTCTTGGTGGTAATTTCTTTGGTAATTCTTCCGGCATGATGTCCTCAAATTCCCGAATAAGCCTTTTAACGGGTTTTGGAATAGGACCATTCGCCTTTTCGGCCTCCTCTAATCGAAGAGTGCACAAAAAAGAGGGTTCATTTCTCTTGAAACCTTTACTAAATTACATGGCTGAGATACTCTTCTCGCCCATCTTCCCAACCTGTGTAGGGATGACACACGGCTTATTACCCATCATCATTAACGAATCGGAATATGGCAACACCGCTGTCTTAGTATCCCGAAGAAATTCCAATCCTAGAGTAAGCTTGAAATCATCTATCTGAACTGCAGATAAATTTGTCCTTCCCTCGAAAGGACCTGCTTTGATCAACACCGATTTCACCACTCCAGCTATTGGTTGAGCAGCGGAGTTGATTTCTTTGACTTTTCCACTACCCTTTTCTAGAACAAGTCCGAGTCGATCTACTTCGGTACATGCAAGGTAGTTGTGGGTAGCACCAGTATTCACCATAGCCCTAATTGGCTTCCCATTGATTTTTACATCAATGTACATTAAGCTTTTGGCCCTACAAATTCGAGCCTTCACTTCTTCCATCTTTGCCTCTTTCAATGGGACATCATCTTTTTCAGCAACTCGATGCGACAGGGTGTTGCACCGATGTGAAAATGCCCCAACTACTTCCTCATTCTCTTCAGAGTCAGTCTCACTATGACAATTAGCCTGCGAGGCCTCTTGTTTTGAACTTGGCCCGCCACTTGCTAACTGACAATATGCATTCACCATCCACTTCTGAGGAACTCTGACACCCGATGAGGTCCTTCACATAAAAAGCACTTCAATTTGGGAGTGACATCAGTTCGGCCCTCCGTTGCTTTTCCTTTCTTCCAGTTGCTACTATTACTGGCGTTAAAATTTCCCTGACGGCTGTTATGATAGTTTCCCTAAAAGCCACGGGTGCTTTGATAGGCTTCTTCTCTATTATGAGAGTAACGCTCTCCCCCATTTGGGTTCGAGCTGGGTCTGTAAGATCTGTTACCACCTCCAATTGCTTGATTACTCCCCGAAGGTCGATCTTTTCTAGATTCTGTTTGGTAGTCGCTCAAGCATTCAGCGGCTCCCATGGCTGTGCTCAAATCAGCAACCTTTTGTCTTTGAAGTTCAGTGCGTGTCCACGGTTTCAACCCTTCCATAAAGGTGAAGAGCTTATCATTTTCTGACATATCTCGAATATTCATCATATGCCCTGAGAAGGATTTCACATACTCCCTGATAGAGCTTGTGTGTTTTAGGTCTCGAAGCGCCCGTCGAGCCTGATACTCGACATTTTTCGGGAAAAACTGCGATTTGATCGCTTCTTTGAGGAGATCCCAAGAATCAATTCGAATCCTGTGGGCCTGAATGTCAGCATATTTGGTTCGCCACCATAGTTTTGCATCTCCACCCAAATACATGGTAGCTGTGGTTACCTTTTTAGCTCTGTCTTCGATTGAAGCTGTTAGAAAGTACTGTTCCATATCAAACAAGAAGTTTTCGACTTCTTTTGTATCACGTGCCCCTCCGTAGGTACACGGTTTAGGAATTTTGAGCCTAGGAGCATCCTCAGGTACGGGAGCTTGCCCATTGCCCACCGCACGTTGGAGTACCCGCAATTGAGCTCTCAACGCTTCCATTTCATCCTGCAGATCAGGAATGATTACAGCAGTTTCAGTCATTGCTGCGCAAGCTCTTTGGCTTTCATCCAATTGGATGTGTAATCCACGAATCTCAGATTCGGCCATCTCGACTTTTTCCTCGAGACCTTCCATAGCATAGCACAATCTAGTAGTTGTCTCATCAAGCGCATCCACGCGCTGTTTCGTAGTACCCTTCTTTTGAGGCTCTTACTACTTTAGTGGTGTGGGATGTAATTGAATCCATAACTTTTTTATCGAGGGTTGTGAGCCGCAGCTCTGATACCAACTTTCACGGGGTGCCTTTCTTCTTGGCACAGAAAGGGACACCGTGTGGCAATAGTCTGCTTCGCTAGACTACCTTCCGCCTTTTCTCGATCGCATTGGGACGAAAGAAAATTTGATTGCAATTTTGTAGAAAGCTTACAATAGAGAATTTGAATATATTGAAAGTAAATTGAACATTGATTGATGAAAATTGAACATTACAATTGATGAAAGCAGAAAATTACAAATGCTGGTGCAGGGGGCGGACACCAGTGAGCTTGAAAGATTTTTGCATGACTAATACCCCCTATAATAGCATTCTGAACAAAAACCTAAGTGACGGGAGTAGACGTTTAAAAGACGAGAAATCATACTAAACGTTTACCAATATCAGAGCTATTTTACAACTGAAATAACTATTACAATGAAAAGAAAATTACAACTCAAACTTGAAGTAATATTTACAATGTGCGACCGAAGTTGGGCAAATTGCGGCTGCGATAGTGTCATGGGGCTAAGTAAAGCTGCGGTCCTTGACACCCAGTCTCGAGGTTGGTCACTTGAACATCGTGGAAGTACTAGTAGAGCTCAGGCTCAAGCCTAACAGAAAAGCTACCAGTGGAATGACCACAGCCTAAAGCTTTATTGCAAGTAGCTATCCCTGCCCCCAGGTATGTAGATTGCTTAACTTGTGTCCTTTTAGCCTTGCGTGCCCTTGAGCAGTTTATTTTTATATTCATGCCAAGTTGTCCTTGAGTACTAACTTTACTATGATATAGCAATTTGCTTTTAACTATTGCTTCGTCTTGTAGACATACATTTCGTATCAAAAG